AACTAATTAGGGGATCAGAAGTATGTATACCTAGAATGAAAATGTCAAGTAAGTTTGTTTCTCTACTATTTTTCCATGCAAGATGTTCACGATCAAATTTTAGAATTCAGTGTTGAGATTCAACTGTTTCCTCTCCAATTAAACTGGAACTTCATTTTTGTTATGGTTAAGAGTCTTGTTTGCACTATAGTTGCTTTATCTTTATTTTATTCAAATGGTTTAATAAAAGTTAGATTTTCTTTGAGCACTTACATTATTTTGTGCTACATTTTTTGTTAACTGATTGCCTGCTTCAGTTTATTCCAATAACAAAGAATACTGAAATAGGCTTTCAGATAGCTATATCAACACATACCAACATGCTACTAAAAATAATCTTACATATTGCAAAAACTACTTACAATTCTCCATTGGAAATAATTTTAAAGGTTTGTAATTTTGTATTTAATATAATTGCAATTATTAAGTAGAAGACATAAACTTTTCTTTGAAATATTTACACTGCAAAACAAGGTTTTCCAATGTAAATACTTTATTATGCTGCATGTCTCAAACATACAGTAATTAAAATGCATCAAATCAGGCCATTTATTTACAGAAGGCAAGAAATATCAGGCATACCAACTGTTTTGGAGTTAATAGCTGTTAATAAATTTCTAATTTTTTTCATTGCCAAATAAATGCTTATCATATTTCTTTATTTAAATGGTTTTGCAGCGGTGAAAATTACAAATTGAAAAACTATAAAATATTAGAAAAATCATTGACAAAAATTTGGTATCAAGAGATTATTTGCTTCTTGTGGGTAAGATGTACTTCCAAAAAGCAGCCTATTATCAAAGTGGTAAACGATTTGACGAAGATTGAGAAAATAACCTTTTTAAAGAAGTTTTTAAAGAAGTTTTTTGTTTTTGTGATTGTAGGGCTTCAAAAATTTATTCTTATGTTTTGAAATCCTTATCTAAAGTTTACATAACTGGTTTATGTTTGAAAAAAAGAAATTGATGAGTATATTACCTCAATGCATCAATCTGAATTTAAGATAAGAGCTGTTGTTACCGATAACCATTCTACAAATGTTAATGCATTTTTGTAGTTTAATAAAGCATATACTGGAGATGGAAAAGTATTAATTTATCATTTAGTTTAGAAAAGGAGTGTTTAGAATATACTTGTTATTCTGGGTTTTTGTTTTTTTCTTCTTGTTGAAGTTACTGCTGATTACATTACAGGGAATATATTTCTTAAAGTTTATTAAAAGATCAATTATTAAATAGGCAAGAAAAAGCAATAAAAATTAATTATCAAGTCACATATTTTGAAACAACAAACAAGTTGTCAACATTGACAATATTTGACCAAACAACTGCAGCTGTAATTTAGAGTTATTTTTCTGAAAGAAATAACGCAGCACAATTTTTATTATTGTTTTATAAGTTATTTATCATTCTTAATTTAAAGCAGAAACTAAATTCATCCAATCAAACTCAGCAGTGTTGCTTTGAAAGGTGATAACAAACCCACACTTTATAGAGAAATTGCAAATTGTACTGAAATTTGATCAAAATAAAATTTGATAAATACTTTACACTAACCAAACAAACTTCTTGTGCACTAATTACAACTCTACAAGTATTTCTTTTGTATTTCAATTGTATATCTTATCCATGATTTTCTTGAAGAAGGCTTTACATTTGTTTATAGTTCCAATTTACAAAGTGATCCTTTAAAGCTAGGTTTTAGTAAGTACAGTTAAATTACCAGTAGTAGACTTTTTTTGAGTCTTTTAGAAGTATGCGTTAGTAAAAAGATTTTGGCAGATTTTCCCAGAAAATATTTATCAGAATTTTGATAATCCTTAAAAAATATTATGCAAAATATTTTTTAGTTGTCTACATAAATACTACTATCAGCTTTCTGAAGATAGCACAAATATATATACTAAAGCAAGTAATAATGGTAAAAATTAACAAAAAAATTTTAATGTAAAACTTATGATCAATAAATGTTACTTTATAAAGAGAAGAACATATATATTCAATTCAATCTCTGTCTAATTTTCTTTGTCATCTTTTTAGTATTTTATGTTATTTCTCTATAAAACATTGCAGTCATTCTTTTTCAATTAAAAATTTGTGAAACAAATTTTAAAGATTTGATCTAGCAGTTTTAATTTTACAAATAAAAACCACCAAAAATTGGGAATCAAATATAGATTTCGTATTGTTAGCAATATTTTTTATAATAAAAAATTACATATTCATTGAGAAAAGATCAAGTAAAAGAATTCCAAAAAAGACAAAGACAAAATAAACATTTCTAACAAAAATTTCTTCTTTTAATTTCAATTATAAAAAATACAAAATTACAAACCTTTTTTTTGTTCAATAGAGAGTTTTAGGCAATCTTAGCAACATGAAAGATTATTTGGCGCTACTCGACTTTCTCCCCCCCCCCCCCCCCCTGTTTTTATGATTGATTTTTATAGAGTATAATATAC